TGTCTATATATATATATATATATATATATATATATATATATAATCTTTTACAGCTTTACTGAATAAATGCTTTGTCTAACTTTCGTTTTTTGAACTCGTATTAAATGGTATCGATTATTTATGGCATTACAAAATATAGACAATTCCAATAGAAAAATACCCATAAGATCTATAGATCCATTAAATATTTCATGGTCTAATGGTAATTTATAAAGAATACTACAAAAACATATAGTTTGAATCTACTATCTTAGAAAGTTGAATGCGAATATAAACAGTAAATTTACACGCAGATATTTGCTATCTATGAGCCAGAGTTGCCCTTAGAGTTCATAGCGCTTATTATAAAAGAATATTCAAAATAACGTTATAACTTAAGCAAAGGTCCAATGTACGATTACAAGCATGTCGTTTACTAATAATTCAATGTAGTGATTTGATAGACCACTTTCCGAGGAGCCCCACGTTCCCCGACATCCCACCACTCATCCTCTTTTCTTCTTTTTTTTTTTCCCGTAATTTTACAATGGATTACAGTTTCGATATTCGGTTTAGGTTCAAATCATAAATAATTCGGTTCAATTCTTTGTATTAATTGGTTATTATATTATATTCGATTTGGTTTTGATTTCGATTTCGATTTTTATTTAAAAAACATATTTTTTAGATTTTTTTAAAGTTAGTTTCGATTTAGATAAATTCAATTTTTCTAAAATTAATACGGTTCCAAAATTTTTAACGGTTACTACATTTTGGGGTTGGATAAATGAACCGAAGCATCCATTCCACCCCTATTTTACATTATCAAATAGGTCCTCTTTCAACATTCAAAAAATATTATATATATATATACATACCAATTTATATTATCTTCCATGAAATTACCAATCTTATCTTCCAAACCTACCCTTTATTTCATTTAAAAGGATTTTTTTCTACTATAATTAAAAGTGTTTTAAAATGCAGCAGAGTTTGGCTGATTAGTTGTGCAGAATACTTTTTAGAACACAGGCGGGCCATTTTATACGTGATAGTAAAATATTTTATAATAACAGTATATAATAATATTTTAATAATGCGATTGTGGAGATGCATGCTATAAACAATGAATTACACTATCTCTTAATTCCTTCTGTATATTTTGGTTTGGGCCAATACGAATCTTGTACGCACATATGTATATATTATAAAGTTTCAGATTCATATCTTATTAAACTTGTCGCATCGTAAGGAGGTCCCAATGGTTCGAGTGGAAGACAGTTGGTCTCAACCAAACAAGCATTCTTACATTAACCTTCGGAATTTCATTAATCGAACGGTGACCCTTCCATAATTAACCATTTTCGGCAACAAATCAACATTTAAAAAACTGTAATCGCCATTTTTTTTAAAAAAAAGAAAAAGATCAGAGTGAAGTGACGTCATTATCACGACGATGACATCATCGGTGGAGCTCCATCATGCGAGAGAAGTCATCGAATCGGACGAAACCATCGCCCTTCATGTCCACCGTTGCTATCATGCGCCGGCACTCATCTAACGTGCACCTGTCGTCTCCGATGACGCCGAACACGCGGAGGAGCTCCTCCGCCGAGATCCTTCCGTCGCGATCCGCGTCGAAGAACTCGAACACCTCCCTCAGCTCCCCCTTCTCCACGGACGATCCCGTCGCCGACGTCCCCGCCACGCGGCTTGCCAGCTCCTCCAGGCTGATGCAACCGTCGCCGCCGTCGACCTCTCTCAGCATCATCCTCACCTCCTCCTCGCTCGGCGGCTCCGGGCTCAGCCTTCTCAGAACCGCCGCCAGCTCGTTCCTAGATACCACGCCGTCGTCGTCCCGATCGATCAATTTAAACGCTTGAACGAGCTCCGTGTAAAAATCGCGATCTCCGCCGGAGATCTCGGGGATAACGCTGGTCGGCGTGGAGGCGGGGCTGGGCTTGCGGTCGCCGGAGACGCCGTATGATCCGTCGGAGGAGGCGGAGGAGAAGGAGGAAGGATCGGATCTGGTGACGGAGGAGCGATCCTTGAAGCGGAAGAGGCGTTTGGGGCTGAGGCGGCGGAGGAACATGGAGCTGCTGATAGGGACGAGTTTCATGGCGATGGCGAGGAAGGAGAAGGAGATAGAGGAGGGAAGGTGAAGGAGAAAGTAGAGATCGAGGAAGGGAGGTTATTAAATAGAAGCCATGGCAGCTTCCGCGAAGCTTCGTTGAGTACATTTTTTGATACTTATACCCACTATCATTAGGCCACAGTTTACATGTTAAATAATAATAATAATAATATATCTGGTTTATATTAAATACTATACAATCAAAATTATACGTACATTGGTTTATGATCTTCTACTTATTAATAAGTGCATAAATTGGGATTAATTGAAGGAGCCTGACCAATCGGATTTTTTATATTGATTTTATGAAATGAGATTTATTTTTTTGGCTTAATTGGATTGTCTTTTCTCGTGGTGCTGGATTTTAGGGTCTGACACTGTCATATAGACTCAAAAGATTTCATGTAACACGTCATGCGACCAAACATACATGGAGACACGAGTCTTGTCAGTACCAAATTTTATTTTATTATTGGAATTACGATGCCCTTGAAGGGAAAAAATAATTTAAACTGATTGTACGTAAAAATGGGTGCAGGCCTTTATTCTTAGGGGAAAAAAAAAACAAAATTCAAATATTTATATCAGAAAGAAATAACATTTGTCCTTTAGAATACATTTTCGTAAAGCAAGAAAGTGTATATCTATTTATATATATATATATATTTATTTATTTTTTCTTGGTCAAACGGATTTATTGATTAATTTCAATTTTATGGCATTTACTTACAGTGGTAGGGCCGCCTCGACGTGGGCAAGCACAATATATGAAACGAGGCCGAAGTTCCACGCGTATCATTTAACATGGCACGGCATCTTATTGTAACGGTATTTAAAACATGTAGTTGCCTGTTCGAACGTATCAGTGTCAAATAATTGTACCGTTAGTTTCAGATACGGTTTGTTACCAATATATATATAACAGGAAATATTAATAAATATTTTGGTTAGAAAAGATTGAAATAATAATAAAAAAATCAGCTAAAATATAACAAATATGTGCATGTACACTACATTTCCTCATTTCAAACCAAACATGAAACGCCATTGACAGTGTCAGACACCAATTGGGCTTACGATCCAGAAAAAAACCCACGACCACGAGGCCCAATTATGACATGGTGAAATCTAATTGGGCCGGGCCATTTCATCGTTGCCGAAACAGAACTTGCCATAGAGAGAAGAAAACAAATGCAGTAGAAAACATCACAGAGGAATTGTCTAAATGGAATGGAGTGAGACATGAGAATACAAGCAATGCCGCCTTTCGTCTCACTTTCCCGGATTAGGTACGGTAACTTGCATGACTTCAAAATTTGAACAGCCTCTCTCTCATTCTTCATCTTCATCCTTCTTGTCCCTTTTCTTCTTCTTCTCCTTCTTCTCACTCTTTTCTGCTGCTGATTCATCTTCGCCATTTGCAGCAGCAGCAGCAGAAGCTGATTCATCTGTCTCTTTGCTCTTCTTTTTCTTCTTCTTCTTATCTGACTTGGGCGAGGGTTCTTCCTTGATCTTGTGCTCCTTCTTCTCCACCTTCTCTGTCTCCTGCTCCTCATCTTCTTTATCCTTCGTTTTCTTCTTCTTCTTCTTCTTCTTGTCAGACTTGGGTTCATCATCTTCCTCCTTTTCCTTTGACTTCTTCGACTTCACTTTCTCTCCTTCCTCAGCTTCTTCGGTTTTAGATTTCTTAGCCGGGACAGGTGCAGGGCTATCACTGCTGTCATCCGATTTACGCTTACGCTTTTCTCCACCTTCGCCATTCTCATCCTCTACCTTTTTCTCTTTCTTCTTCTTCTTACCCTCCCCCATAGCTGTGGTTTCCTTCTCTGGAGCAGCAGCAGCAATACCAGCAACCATAGCATCCCCACCTGGAGGCAAAACCACATTCCTCAGCCACTCTTGAGGAGTTTTCTCATTTGGCTTTCCATGCTTATCTAACTTCCCATCGGCAATAAGCTTCTTCTTCATCGAAGCCCTAGGTCCCAACCCCCATTTCCTCGGATACATGTCCCTGTCCATCACCACCCGCTTTATCTTAGCCACCACACCATGATCACAAGTAGCCATCACGGCCGTTGTCATTTCGGCAATCCCTATAGCTATGGCTTCACCTTTAGTGGTCATAAGAACAACTTCTTCCCCAACCTCAATGTCGTTCTCAAATCTCAACAGACCAGGAATCATCAGCTTAGCACCATAACAAATGGCATTCACGGCAGAATCCTTCACGACGAGCCTCTTGTAGCTAGTCAACAACACTTCCAGAGGCATAATGACCCTCCTAAGATAAGTCTCATCCCTATAGTTATCATACATCCACTGAGCATCCATCACATCATGCATCGTTACCATGTTATCTCTCTCACCCATAATCCCAGACCTCACTCTCCTCAACTCCTGCATATGCCCACCAACCCCTAGAAGCAGACCCAAATGAACACACATGGTCCTGATATACGTACCTGCCTCACAGGAAACCCAGAAAACAACCAAATGCCTGTCCGCATCATACTCAAGCAGCTTGCTTTCGTATATTGTCCTGATCCTAAGCTGTCTTTTCACGGCAGAGATCAGAGGCGGCCGCTGAAACACAGCTCCGGTGAGCGCTTCAAGGGCTCTAGCAACCTTGGCAACATCAGGAACAGCAGAGTGCAAACGAGCAACACAGACATACTCTTTACCCGCACCTTGCTGCGATTTCACCAGCCGAGTAGCTCGGTCGATGCAGACAATGAGATTCCCAGTGACCTTGGGATCAAGGGTTCCACTGTGACCCGTCTTCTCCACACGGAGGATACGTTTGATCCAGGCAACAACCTCATGGGAAGAAGGGTTCGCGGGTTTGTCGAGATTAATGACACCGTACCTGATGTACTCTTGCAAGGGCCGTTTCAGGGGGGAGAAACCGGAGGGGAGAGGAGTGTAGTGTCCGGTCCGAACGTTGAGGCGGTCGTAGTTCTTGAGGAGGATAGGCCACTGGGACGTGTCGATGGAGGGAGTGAAGCTCTGCGGCTTGATCATGAAGTCTCCGGCGTCGGTGGCATCATTCTCCGTCGTCGCGTCGGCGTCGGCGTCGGCGTCGGTGCCGGATTTCTTCTTGTGCTTCTTCTCGGAGCGGGAGATTTCAACCTCCGACATGGTCTCAACTGGTCTAGGGTTATGATCGCGGGAGGAGTTGTCGAGAGAGTGGAAATGAAGAAATGGGGATTTATAAAGTCAGGGGGTTTTTGGGTTTTAGGTATCATCTGTAGGAGTGACGGAGTCTGGGGAGAGCTGCTCTTCGATAGACCTTTGGGCTTTATATGGGCCTATTTTAAGAAATAATATGGCTTTATATGGGCCTAGGTTGAAGTAATGTGGGCTTTAGTTGGGGTAAATCCATTTATACCTCTTTTCCTTTATCCGTTTTTTTTTTATATATATGGATAAAAGACTTATTTACTTAAAATATCATGCATTAATTATTTGCATAAATGGAACAATTTAATATAGAATTTAGAATATTCTTCCAGAAATTTTCAATACGTGGATATCAAATTAAATGTCGGGGTATGCGAATTTTTAATTGCTTATTAAAAAACCGAAAAAAAAATGTTTAATCGAAGAGGTCTGGCATTGGATGGGCACAAAGTTCTTTAAAAAAGCGACCCCCACGTTTTCCAATGTGCAATTGACACCCCTAATTTAATTGCTCTGATTCTCATGAAGGGTTTGTCTATAAATGAAGCCCCCAACAACAGAAGCCATCACATTTTCCTCAAACCCAAAAAAAAATCCCTACAAGTTTCTTAGTCATATAGAGCTCAGCGATCATGGCGGGGCTTCAGTACAACTTCTTCCCAACAGATTTCTTCTATCCTCGAACCACTCCAACGATAAAAATTGCTCCCACAAGTAAAACCTCCGTCCTTCCGTTGCAGATCAAGAAGCGAGACGAAGTTGCCGATGATCATGCTCTGCCTGTTGTAAGCATTGGTAAAAAGATGAGTAATCAGTCGATATCGATGCGTAAACAAGTCGGTAGGAACAGGAAAAACGTCTTGAATGCTTCTTTCGAATCGGAGATGACCAGTGACAAGTTCCCTTTTTCTATGTGATCTTTTACCTGTAGAGGTCATCCCATTTTGCTATGTTTTTCGTAAGATTCTGTTTCTTCTACTATTGCGACACTGAATCTGCCACCGAGAATGAATCTGCATTTTTGTCGTAAAAAAACATCTTCACAAGAACGGTATGGTTTTGTAATGAATTAGAAGGAGAAGAACCGTCTCCCAGTTTGATCAAACATCATCTGTTGGGAACGTGGGAAAAATAAAAAATGACTGATGGGCTATGTGCAAATGTCAATATTTACCAGTAGAAAATTATACTCACCGTTTTTAATGGAGGAGATGATAGAATCACGGCATCGTATCCAGTACTCTCTGCATGTCATATGCATCCATGGCATCGTTGGAGGGAGACCAAGTCCCAGCTTCGAAGGCATTCTGCGTCCGATCGAGAAACCAAACAAAACCAAACTTAAAAGACAATACTAATTTGTACGATTAAGATCGATATGAATGAATTTTACCTTTTGCCGGTGAGGATTCCACTAGCTGAAGCCGCCAGAGAAGAACCCGATATTCCCGAAAATATCATTTTATAGTGAGGCATGAGGATCTGCCCTGCAACCACATTTGTACTCATATCGTATCAGTAAAAAAAACGGAAAGATGAGCCTAACTACACAGCATCCAGGTTAAGTTCCCTCACCTATGGTTAAATAGTTGCTGTGAAGGGTGGAAACCAGAAGAAGGGATTTCTTCTCGGAAACATCATTTGAAGAACTGAAGATTTTATCCTCGATCTCGAACGATATACCGGAAGGAAATCTTCTGCGCCAGATAAGCCAAACAATGACTTTGGTATATGGAGTGGAGTGGATGACCGATATGGTGATTTCAATCAACATACAGATGGAGTTGATTGCTGTGTTCAGGATGGTAAAGAAAACGAAGAAAACTGAAGTGGTTGGCAAGAGAAGCAAAAGAGGAGTGAACAGAAGCGATCCCACTACATGTTGCTTCACGGTGTACCCATAGCTGTCCAACCTTTGGCGCAGAGGATTCGACTTCCGGCCTCTAGAAAACAAGAAATAATCCAATATATTCGGAGAATTAAAGATGGTTGAACTATTCATGAGAACAAACAATAAAAATGCATACTTCTCTTGCTCTCACATTTGACATTACATTACACCACTCATTATCGGTTTTGAAGACAAGTTCAACTGATATAAGAATAAGATTCGAGTTTTTACCGGAAAAGTCTCCACAGAGCTGCTAATGCTTCAATCTGGTGAGAATACAAGAATGCAATAGTCTGATGAAGAACTGATATATGAAGTGTTGCAAAAGTAATGATATCTGTGACCAAAGCAGCAGCTACCGTGGTACCAAAAGTAATCCCCACGAGGGCAAGTAATCGTATGGCACAAAAGATAAATGAAGCCATAAAGACCCAGAGAGTAGACCATATCTGGATCACGTTTAGAGACACCATGCTAAGAACGCCAGCCAATTCAGTGTTCAACTTAAAACCTGCCGGGACTCCCATCAACCACACACAACCTGACCGCAAAATACCGTTTGTAAACTCCTTTGTAAAGTTGAAAATCCATAGGCAGATGGAATCTGTGTGAAACAAAAGTCCCAGACCCATCAAAATCCCTGAAACAACATCGACAGCTAAGGCCGACCACATGGCATGCCTTTGTAGCACAGCTTTCTCTGCATGTTCCACACAGTATCTCGACCTTGTGAAATCCAGAACAGGCATGAATCAGTATCAATGAATAATGGATGTAAATCATGACACAACCAGAAAACGGTCCAAATGTAATGGATCTTGTGCAAGACATGCCAAAAGGCTAAACAAGGTTCAATGATGAATTTGAGTCCAAAGGCTGATGCAGATTGAAAAACAAAAAAGCACGATAGTATCTGGCACACCCGGGAACACTTTTTTCCAGGTATAAAGAGATTGCAATGTCGGAGCTATGAGGAAACATGAAAAAAATAAATGCCTATAAAATCCCAAAAGTCATATATTTGCCCTGAACCTTGAGCAGGATCAGGAGAAGGTCCTATCATGTAACTTACCTCATGTCATTCTCTTGAAGGAGAATCGGCCAATATAATATCTGACAACTGCGTATTCTGAGATTGGTCCATGTATTCTTGAGCACCCTTTCTGATGTGATGTGCATCCAATAGAAAAATGGAATACTTGAAAGGAAATAGAAGAACTGAATGAAGCCATAATATAGAGTTGATGTCGAAGCTAAAATCGTGGCCAGTAACTGTGAGGCCAAAGAAAATATCCTGAAGAGTGAGACGACATCAATCAGAACAGCTAAGAAAAAGTAAGAGCACACACAACAGATATAACCTCAGGAGTCAGGACTCAGGAGCGCATACATATAACTAATGGAACTATTCTGCACTGATGCCTCCAACTGTATGCATCTCTCGTACCATATTTTGACAGCCGACGCACAATTGATAGAAAGAATTACAATTTCCTGCAGTAAAAGAAGAAGAGAATGTAACGAAAAAATAAAAGAGAGAAGAAAAGTATTGATAAGCAGAGTGGCATTCTGGAAAGCACTTAACTATGTCACAGAGAGGCTGCTGCCGTTGAACTTCATCAACCCACTTGGGTTTCTTCAAAGGAGTTTTCGCCTGAGTAGAACTCCAAAGACTGAGGGCAAAATGGTGAGAACCATATACTGGAGTTTCATAGTATATCACCTGATATGTCCATGTTTAGAGGTGTCAAATACTAATGCAAAGCATGATCGGTCAAAGAAACATGAAGGAGGAAGAGGAAATAACTTACATACGTGGACATCACATTGAGACACTATTTCCCTGTTCCAATGTATATGATGCAATCTGGGACTTGAACGAAGCTTTCTATCACTATGCTCGGAAGAATCATACACCATATGGATCCAGTAACTGCTCATAGAATATTGCCTTAAATCCTCGACTAATCCATCAATTCCATGACAACCACAGTTCAAGCCAGTAAATGCACATGGACCGCCTTCACCTACGATCATACTCTGGCTATCTTCATCAGCTATAATCTTGGATAACTCACCATTCTCATTACGGCATGTACCATAATGACCAAGGATCGTAAATGTAGCCTTATCCCGTAACTGCGAGGGCAGATTCTCATTTGCCTCATGGATTCTGTCCTGTCAGAAATCACAAAGAAGAATAACTAAGTAGATGCCGGATAAGCAAATATAGCAGACCATAATCAATGAAAAGCAGCCACAGTGTGGGCGATGGTGTAGTTCCACGGCAAAACCAATGAACAAGACAAAGCAAAACTTGGAAGTTGAGCAAGTACTTGGAGCCGTGACCGGAAGTTGGGCAAGGAGCCTTTGTCAGAGACGAAGGCCACAACAAAGTCAACCGAAACAGAGGATTGACAAAATGACCACCCAAACAAGAGACCGTCGGTCGGAGTTTCAGAGACAGAGAGCTGCTTTGGCCACCAAATTCTACACTTTCTCCTCATTTTCAGCTCCCTGACAGCTTCTCAAACGAGCAAATACAGAAATAAATAAGAAACCACAGAAAACAGGACAAAAACATGAATACTTTGCTGGGGACAGTATAACCGGATTCAACGGAGAAGGAAGGGTTTCGAACAGAAAAATATTCTGGGAATTTCGTAATTAGAAAAAATAACAAAGAACGAGATCTCATAAGACAAATGAAACCCTAGCAGTTCTTCACTTACGTTATTCATCGCGGATCTAGCCCCAAAATGTGCTTCGAAACGTCCGATGCAACACAAAGCTACGGTTTTCAGGGAGAGAGGATACAGCACCGGAAATGGAAAGCGCAGAGACGACCAATTTTCCGGCGACGGGATAGAGAGGAGTGACGGCGGCGAAAATTGAGCGAAGGAGCGGCGTCGGAGAGAAACCGCCCAAAGTCTCAGAGCATTTTCTTTTACTTTTTCTCTTCCCTTTGCTGTTTAGCTTTTTCTTTAATTTTTCTTCAGGGCCCCTTAAGTTTTTCGTTTTCGTAAAAGCCCATACATTTTTTTAATAAATTTTGAAAAATCTAATTGTTTTCATGATTTTTCACTTATTTTTTGTTGCCTAACTTAATCCCCTAAGATTTTATAATCCTTATATTTTTATATCTTTGAAAAAAAATGTTAATTCTCATTTACACTATACATCTTCTTCTTCATTACTCCACAAAGAATTTGACAACCATGGGAGAGAGAGACCACGTGGCTTGTGGCTTGTGGCTTGACGGGCCGACCGGGTCAATATTGGGCTTTTCTTGGATCGGTTATCACATTATCCACTAATCTCAATTTACAACAAACAAATATTATTTAAAAACCCTAATTAAATTACTTAATTACCGTGCCTTACCTAAGATCTGGAATAATTTCCAAGAAAGTTAAAAATAATATTCATTTACCGTGGTTTATCTAGTAGAGTTTGAATCTGTTGATGAATGAAATCTCTCGGATATGACAAAGTAATTTATTTACCTTTCTGCCACTGAAACGCTTCTCGCTGACGTGGACGGCTTAGAAACCTGAATTCGGACAGAATCTAGAGGATAAGGTTCTGGCGAGGCGAAGACCCATGACGTGGATCATTCATTGTCTTTACAGTTCAGAACTTAGCGGGCATAACAAGCTGAGAAAATCCGGCGAAAGATCATGGCGGCGAAGCTTATCGGCGGGAGAGTCGTCGGAGGAGGAGGGGAAGGACGGTCACGGCGGAGCTTTTGCAGAGAGCTGCTGAAGAGAAGACAACCTCGGCTTCCACAGTTCACGGTTTCAGCTTCTGCTTCCATGGATGCCTACAAGCAATTGGGTAAACGCTCTCTATCTGTCTTGTCTCTTTCTCTACGTTCTCTGTCTAACAATCTTTCCTGGCGTCGCCATTGAAGAGGGTGTAGTAGACAGTTGTTGATAGCTTATGTCTTCAATGTCCTTAGGAATGTTTTCACTGAAGAGGAAGATAGAAGACGCTGTTCTGAAAGCTGAGATGATGGCGCCAACTGCTCTTGAGCTGGAGGAAGAGCAATGGATGAGGCAAGAGGAGATGATGCGTGACTGCGACTTATGGGACGATCCATCCAAATCCAACGACATCCTTCTCAAGCTGGCCGACACTGCAAAAACAGTCGATGCCCTCAAAGACCTGAAATTTAAGGTTTCCCACTTGAACACTGATCACTATCTTCCATCTTTTTTGTTAGTGTTTTGTTTCTTTTGCTGGAATTGATCGTTTTTTTTTTCGTAAGGCCGAAGAAGCAAAACTGATCACAGAGTTGGCAGAGATGAATGCTATAGACTATGGCCTGTTCGAGCAAGCGTATGATTCATGTCTCGATGTAAGCAAGTCATTGCATCACTATGAGATGTCTAAGCTTCTCAAAGATGGGTATGACATGGAAGGAGCATTCATGATCATCAATGCTGGATCTGAAGATGCAGATTCTCAGGTCATTTCGCCATTCTTTCACTCCGTAGTTTTATGTACTCGACATAAAGATCAAACCTTTATCCTCCGTGAAACGACATTCCACCATTCTTTCTCTGCTCTCTCGGTTCATTGTCTGAAATCGAAACCCTAGTAACCGAGCACAACTCTTGTCCGTGTCTTAGTGATTTCGCCTTATAAACTTACCAGCTTGCAGATATGGGTGGAGCAACTTGTTAGGATGTACACGAAATGGGCAGAAAAGCTTGGCCGGGAAGCGAGAAGGGCATCACTCGACAAAAGCGAAGGTTTCGTCAGTTCAGCTTCCATAGAGTTCGAGTTCGAGTATGCTTATGGTTATCTCTCGGGCGAGCAAGGCATTCATCGCCTTATCACAAGTTCCCGTAATGGTTTTTCTTCAACCTCGGATGAGGTACAACACAATCTATAAACTCTTATCCTTACATTTTACGTTAAAAAACACAATCTAAAAGGCGCGATATAAGTATAACTCTTGCCAGGCATGTGCAACTGTGGAAGTCATTCCTTTGTTCCTGAGAACATCTCCAGATCTGAAAGTGAATGACGAGGATCTCGTTGTGTCGTATTCCTCAAGCGAAAATACCGTTTGGATTAAGCATCTTCCCACCGGAATATCCGTAGAATCTTCGGGTAAAATTTTCCTTCTTTAGATTTAAAACTCGATAATAACCATAAGCAGTATCTTAGATAACGAATGGCATCAAAAAACACTGAAACAGGTGAAAGAAGCCGGTTCGCAAACAAGATCAAGGCTCTGAATAGGTTGAAGGCGAAGCTTCTTGTGACGGGATCGAAGAACGTTCTAGAAGAATCTAGAAGATACACATCTCGGCCTCGAAAGATGGTTTTGGACATGAAGACAGGCGTGGAGGTTTCCAACATGAACTCGGTTTTGGATGGGAATATCCGGCCTTTTATAGCTGCTCATGTCGGTATGAGACAGAACTCTTGATGCATTTTTAGTTACACTTTGTGAAAATGATGATATCGCCATTTTTGTAGTTGTAGCCTTTTTTTTTTGTAACCAAAGAGTCGAAATTTGGTTTGATGATTTTATTTTTATGACAATAGGGGACCGAGTATTTTGAGTTTCAAACAAAATTTAGTATGGATGTGTATTAAATATAAGACTTAAATACCACGAATGTAATTAAACAAAAGAAAAAAAATTAAAGATTGTAATAAAGAAAGTGGAATCAAATTAATGTTGAGTATTTCTCTTTCAAAAAATGAAAGTGAAGTAAATTAGAATAATTAAAAACGGAAATTGAATATGTTAGAAAGATAAGGGAAAAAAACAAAAATTCAAAACTTTAAAAACCAGATATTCAAGATTTCAAATCTTTATAAACATAAGTATTTATGTTATGAAAAAAAATCTTCATTTTCAATCATTATGTAAAAAGATGGTCAAAGTGTTATTGCAAGGCATCCTCTGAGATCTAATTTCAGAAACCAGTTTCGATCGCTACATTCACTAATCCACGTCCATTCTTCCTTCTTCTTCTTCGCTGCCGCCGCTGGCCCAGAGCTTGATGGTGCGATCATGAGACACAGTTGCAATATGACTACCATCTGCTGTAATATCCAGACAAGTTACTTTTGCTTCATGCCCTGATAATGTTTTCACATGCTGGAAATCTCGACCCGACCATATCTGATAACGAAACCATGGAACCCGAATCATACGACGGACCCAGAAACAAACACGACGAGATCGATGAATGAAAACGCGAAACGGAATCGGAAGATCCTACCTTTACTTTCATGTCGTAAGAGGCGGTGACCAGGAAGTATCCTTCTTGAGGTTCAAACTTCACTTGAGATATAAGGTTTGAGTGAGCTGGTATAGTGTATAATGACTTTCTCATTCTTAGATCCCAAATCCGACAAAGATTATCCTCACCACCAGATGCTAAGTGATACCCATTTGGTGAAAAGCTCACCCCAAGAACCTGAATTGGGAAACGTTAGAACACAAAAAAAGATCGAAGTGTTGTTAGTAAAGAAGAGGCTTCTCTGTGGAGAAGAAGAACATGAAACAAGATCTGGTCTTTTACCGGTTTGATATGACCTTCAAACGCAAGAATGCTCCTTCCAGTACGGAGATCCCAAACCCGTACAAGTGAATCAAGCCCAGAAGAAGCAGCTAATGACCCATCATGGTGAAATGCAATTCCGTACACGCTCCGGCTGTGTCCTTCTTGCAGAAGCAGCTCTTTTCCTGTGTTTATATCCCATAATCTCCATGTTTTGTCAAAGCTTGTTGTTCCAAGGTACTTCCCTGATGGGTGGAAGGCAATACGAGCAAGACGATCCAAATGACCATCGAAGCTTTGGAGAAGTGTTCCGTCGGTTTTCCACAACTTTGCAGTTCGGTCAGCAGAAGCAGTTGCCAGACAATCGTCCACAGGGGAGAACACGACATCTGTTGCACGCTCTTTGTGGTCCTTCATAACAGCAACCTTGTTCGTGACTTGAGGCATCTCCCACAATTTAGCAACTCCACTCAAAGAACTAGCAAAAACAAAAAGAGTTCAAAACAAAAAGATGATTTTTTTAGTCTCAAGTCATGTGAAAATGTCCAGGATAGAGAGAGAGATGTACCATGTGGCAAGTATTTTTCCATCTCTCGAGAAGGAGCAGCCAGAAAGAGGACGATCATCCCCAAAGTTGCTGCAATCAAGGACCATGCCTTCAGCTTGCTTCAAAGCCCATTTTATCTCTACATCCATATCTTCATCCGGATCATCCCTTCTCCTCTTTGCACGCTGAAGCCTGACAGCAGCCCTGTTCATAGAAAACATGGCAATATCCATTCTAGCCTCTTTAAGCTCCCGTGGACCCTCGGTATAAAACGGGTATTCAGGTATTTCATCCTCCACTTCCTCTCTAGGAGCTGTCTCTTCTTCATGAGCTTTCAATAGTTTATCCAATTGCCCTTCAATATCAAGCCTAGCCATAAGCTGTGCCAATCTGGCTCTTCTCTCCATTTCTTGTTCTCCAAAGAGAGTCATGGGTTCACCGAGCCGTCTCAGACGCTCTCTAACGGCTTTGTCATTCGTGGGAACTGCTAGAGCAGCAGCCCGACGCTTTATCAGCAGCTCTTGCATTGCCTTTTCCTGTCTCTCTCTCACTTGTCTGCTTTCTTCAGAGATATAATGTCCATCTTCTGATTCGGTATCTGAGTCACTGGCTTCAGCTTCACCATTCTGTGGTGGGGCAGGTGGCCGAAATGTAGGTGGGCGGACAACTGGAGGATGAGGAACCATTGGAATTGGAGCAATTGGCGGGGGAAAAGAAGGTGCGGCCACAGCCGGTATGGAAGAGAGGCCTGCAGACAAAGTAAAGGGAATAGTTAGAAGCAATATTTGTCTACAGCTGGTGCATATAGAGAGAAAATACTTCTAGACTCAAACATAAAGTTTTGCCCTCTAAGCATTGGGAAACTCAAGCACTCCAACAGAGGATCAAGATAAGACAAGGAGAAGCACAAAACCCACCATGAAAGATGAAGCGAAAATAAAGAATTAACCAGCAACATAATTCATAGACCTAACAACTGCAGGAATACCAAGACACCAACTGGCTGTGATGAAGCACCTTGAAGAACAGGAGGTGTGGTGATTTGCATACCTGGAACTGAAGCTGAAGGGACAGAGCCAGAAGTCGATGAAACATTTTCTTCTTTTTCAGCCTCCATGTTGCCTTAAACCAAGAAAACACCCACAAAGACTGCAATCCCGGAAAAAAAATTACACCAGAAATGAAGAACCCTTAGAAGATCAGCAAAATGAAAGTAACAGCAACTACTCAAAATCCTAATTCACTCGATCTTTTACGGCGCAAAGAACCTAAAACCCTACCCTAAACCCTAAACTAGAGTTCTAAAGCATTGAGAAGAAACTCTTAAGAGTATTGAAAATAACCAATAGAAAATTTCTTTCACTATCTCGCTACATCAGAGCTTCCTTCAAGGAACCCACTACCCCATATCCGAGAAACGGTAAGAATTCAGCTCAGTATCATGGACCTTGTAAGAATGAGGGGATCATCGTATCACCGAAACAAACAAAAAAAAAAGCAAAAGAACACAGAGGGCAGTATTGGTCGAATTCACAGTTGCCTCATAATACACTCTTACAGAAATTTAAACAAACACCTACAACGCAAAGAATTAAGTTTCAAATCCCCCACAAATATTTCCCAATTACAAACAATTAGAGGTGATCCCGAAGCCAGAAATGTACTTTTACCAGAAATTTCCCAAAGGCACGAGATTTCGTCACGAAAATCAGAGAGAAACCCACGTGGGGAACCAAAGATCCGAGAAGGAAATTTCTTCACCTGTAGAGAAAATACCCACAAGCAACCACAGCGACAGCACAGCAGAAGATTCGGAAGAAGAAAAAATCCTAAAGCTTTGGGTTAGCGTCGAAGCTTCACTAGGAGAACCGTCAGGCGGTGAGACGGGTCGACCCGTTCGAGTTAGGGTCCGAGCTTATATTTGGCTTTTTGTTTTTTTTCACCTTAATATTTTATTTACATTAATTTAATACATTGAAAAAAGTATCTAAATTACCGAGGAGCATCAAAAGCATTGGACGGTCGTGATTGATCCAATCGCAGATCCCGAAACGCCGTCGTTTAGATCGACTGGTAAAGAGGTCTCTCGTGCACATTGGTCAACATTGTCTCCTACAGACCACGTCCCATCGCTGTTCGCTACAACTCTCCGATCTCTATTCCACGTTTTCCCGATCCCCGATTACTCTCGGATCTCTGCTGCGATGGCTGTGTCAATGGCGGCAAAAATTTCTCAGCTTGCTTGTTTCTCTTCGACGAGTAGCCATTTTCACTTGCAGAGGAGGTCATTTGCCTGCCCTAGGTTTCGTACCCAGGTAAGCGAAGACTTTGAATTGTTCCAGACACCCTTTATGTCTGTATGAATTTTATGTCGATTGCTTCGTTTTAGATGATCTTGTCTGGGATTTTCTTTTCTTTTCTGTTTGATTGACATGACGCCGAATTCCGCGGTTGTACTTTTGATGCTGTCTGTCTCAATTTTATAAGTTTGATTGCTTTTTCTGTAAGTAATTCATTATCTTCATCAAAATTGGATCTTTTTTTATGGGTTATCTTCGAAACGATTCTTTTGCGATTCGAATAATTTTGCTGCGGTGATAATGTGATTACAATCAGCTAAAAAGTTTTTTTTTTTAAATTTCTATAGTATGGGAACAGAATTTCCCGGTTTGTGATTCGATCTTGGGAAGCTTTAAACCACGAGTGCAAGTTCTTTGGTTGTGTGTGTCTATGTGCTCTGAAGTCTTCTTACTAAGCTATTGTGCAGATTTTCCGGGAATGATTCTGTCTGAAGCGACTAATTACTGCAATGTTGCAGTCTTTTGTGGTTAGGAGCATCGATGGGAATAGCTCTGGAACTGCAGGTTCTGAGAACAAAACTTCTCTGAGTTATGCAGCTGAGGTTTCAAAGCCTTTTGGTGAAAAAGCTGTGGAACCGTTTTCAAATTTGGATGAGAATGGAACCGGTAAGAGGGAGACAACTGAGCCTGGGGAGCAGCAACATGTAGTTACAGAACATAAAAGAGGAGCAAAGATTCATGACTTCTGCTTTGGCATTCCTTATGGTAATGAGTAACCCTCGGAATTTTTTATCGCCTTAGTTTCATAACTTTTCCCTTTTCTTCTGCCTGTAAGTATAGGTTTTCCAGTTTCACCTTTTTCAAGACCAATGCTTTTCATGTTACGGATTTCCCGCCAAGCATTGATTTCAAGTTTGCGTCTTTTTCAGATAATAAACATAGCTTTTGAAAATTGGGTTTGTATCTTCGGCTTAATTCTCCTGGCCAACTGAGCAAAGATATCTAAAAGTTTGTTGAACTTTGTGAATCCTTGAAGTCATTTGTTTCAGGAACTCTATGGGTTTCTTTTCTAGTTTCATATCGTTCCTAGAGTAACCTTATCGATAGGTAGGGACGTCATTGTGGTTGCTTATACAGCGTTACAAATGACACTGTGGCAGGTGGTCTCATTTTGTGTGGAGGGCTTCTTGGCTCGATGTTTTCACGAAACCTCACTAGTTTAAGTACAGGTGTGCTCTATGGCGGTGCCCTTCTAGCCCTTAGCACGCTAAGCTTAAAAATCTGGCGCCAAGGAAAATCTAGTGTTCCTTTCATACTAGGACAAGCAGGTACTCTTCGGTTGCTGCTGTCCATGGAACAGTTATAAGAGTATTCTTCGTTCACTGCTTTCTTTCTACTGGTAAATTAGCAAATCAACAAAGTATGGCTGTTCTGTGACGAGGACCGACGTTTGTAAATCCACATAACATTACGATATGACTTTGTGATGAGACCATATACGTGTTGTGGACTGTATATGTACACTTATCTATTGTCTGTGAAACTGCAGTGGTTTCAGCTGTCCTCTTCTGGAAGAACTTTGGGGCTTATTCTATGGTAGTCTTGATATTTTTTTGCAAAACATAGTGACTGTCTTTTTTCCACCCCGTTTTTTAAAAACTAACTGATTAATGTTGTTTGCATGCAGACTAAGAAGCTGATGCCATCAGGGTTCTTTGCTGCCATCAGGTAAACCAAACCCTTTTCTCAGCTCTGGTTGAATCTGAAGTATTATCTTACGTGCTCATTTAACTTAGTTTTTTTTCCTCCTTTTTCTTTGCAGTGCTGCAATGTTGTGCTTCTATTCATATGTGGTGATCTCCGGAGGAAATCCGCCTCCAAAGAAGTTAAAGCCATCTACTAATGCTTCATACTGAAGAAATCCTCATAGGATGGATAGATAGATTATGAATTGGACGCAGACACTGCTGTATACATACAAGTTCACTGCTTTTTATGTTTTTCTTGAAGATGGATGAGAGAATTCAGTTCGAAGAGGTTTTCAGATCAAATGTACCGTTTCCAGATTAAACCCTGCAATCTTTGGGATCCGCCATTTCTGATTTAGAGCATAAGCTCTTGAAGCCAAAACTGTGCATAGCTTGTGATACACTCTCGAATATATGCGTGTGTATAAATAAATACGCCATTTCATTGTTCTGGGGGGGAAACTGCCAAAAATGGCGAGCAATTTTCAGATTGAGCTCTTGCACGTGTTATGATCTTCAACAGGACCGATGTCTGTAAACCAGATAAAGGATCCTCACCGTTCTTTTTGTGCACCCAAACAAATCGAAATCCTTCCCCATGTATTGCTAGCTTAAGACAGATGGGACATGCACTCTGTTGTGGTTACAGAAGAAAACCAATTCAAGAATGGGTGATTCATTACATCTTGGCAGTGATCTTAGTATGTCACGAGAAAACAAAGATGCCCAAAAACTGTAAGACAACTCCATGTGGGTTGGTTTTGACATCGAACTCATCGAGCTGTCTGCTGCGTCTGGGCGTGCTCTAAGAACTGACTGACTAACTTGTAAGTTCGTCCGGATAACGCTTTGGTGTGGGATATCAATTGCTCGTGTCTGCACAACAACGATATCAAATAACGGGAATGTCAAGGTTGATGATGATGAGAGTAGCGATAATGGATGGATAGAGCACTAGCGTATGAAAGCTGTATTCTTACATGTTGGGTTCATTAGGCTCCATGATCACAGTTCCGGTCTCGGAATCAATCTTGGCATCCAGCTTTGAGGTGCGGATAAGGTTCACAATCCATCTCTCTGCCTCCTCGTAGTTGAGATTTAGTTTCTCCGCAAGTACCCTGACAATGAAATAAGATATACTCAACATAGGTAACATGAATACATGATGCATAAGTATCATTTGATGGGAGAAGGAGCATAGTTTTGGAACTATAATTTGGAGATTGTAAGTTGAGTACTGGACTGCATGGGATGACTTACTTCATGTCAATTCGCGAGTGAATTCTGCAATACGTCTCGAAGATGAATAATCGGGCATTTTCAAGGAATTCATCCCTCAATGGCACAGTAGAAAAGTTTCCATCTTCGACATGTTTGCCCAGGAAGGGATCGTTCACAATGGCCTACATTGAATTACACAGTCAACTTGTCAAGAGTTTACTACATTTCTGGAGCTACATTCCAAGTACATACAACCTTGTTAATAAGATTCGGTGACAGATAAAACTAGACAGAGTACATCACTGCAGATAAAAGGAAAGGGAAACATGAAAGTAACAATGTCAGGGTACATCACTTACTTCTTCACACTCTTTCATCTTCTTTTGAGCGCCATCAAAGTCATAATTTACAAAGATGCATGCCAGGAACTCAATGATGGGATCCTTGTATGTGTACTGCTCTTGTTGAATAACCCTGATGAATTCTTTTAATTGAGGTTTCCTTCTTTTGTTGACAATTAAAGCAGTTGCTAGGTATCGCAGAAGGTGGGGAGCACTGGTTTGAATGGCATTTAGGTACCTGAAACAAGAAACCAAATTGGCATGCATTTCATGGCCATGCTGGATGACAACATGCAAGGAGAAGCAATTGCAGCAGCGGTTCTTTCTACACATAATCTTAACAATTGGCCATAGTCAAATGGAATACAGAAGAGCAAGCTTTCTGGACTGCTAATAATCTCATTAGGACACAAGTGATTACCCCTTGTCTCCATATAGTGACTAGTATAACTTCATTGAATGGAATGGTTCATTAGATCTCTCTAGCTTTAGTTAAAGTTTTTAGATGCAACCTTAACTTTGAGAGATTAGTGTCCAACAGATGAAAGAGAGAAACTCAACTAAAGATGTAATTTTTACAACACGACATTTGGTCGATCAGAAGGAGAAGACTACTATATAAAGGAACCACTTACTTGTCTTGGTTGAAAAGGTCAATGATCTGCGTCCTTCCATTATCATTGTTAAAAAAGATGAAGAGACTCCAGTGCATTAACCATATTCTACTCTGCACCTGGTTTATCGGAGATGAAAAACTCTGAAAAGAAAGTGCTTGTTAGTATAAACACAGATCAATGAGAAAACTAAAGATCCAACTGGCAAATTCTACAAAAAAAAAAGGTTCAAAACAATACCTTGGAGTCAATGATTTCTTTAAGGCGGTTGAGCTCTTCAAGTGCAATGTCCCAGTTTTGCATCAATATTTCAGATGCAAACTTTCCCCACAATGCACTCAGGCTTCTTTCACTGTTGGTACAAAGGGTCCTGTACTGGTAAAGATAATCAGCAGCCCCAGAGTAGTTCCCACATTCAAACTGAAATTTGGCATACTGATACAAAGCCTCAATCTGCTCTGGACCAATCTGATAAGACAAATCACACATTTATTACCTAACTAAACATACTCCGCCAAAGAGAACAAAGTGAAAACCCAACACCTATTATTTAGGTTAGGAGCAACAAGACAAGCCCAGAAGCCATTTTCACTTTTATTAAAGATTTCAGACGGCAACACAACCCTAAGAAGAAAGCTGAGAGTTCTTGTGACAATGACAGAAAAGTTTAGAACTTGTAAACATAGACAACATCGGCATCCCTTGGGTGCTCATGAACTCCGAAAAGCAGACCACACATGAATCTAGAAGACCGAAAGTAATGGCAAAATCTAACCTGGTATCGCTCTTTCAGCACCTGGAGATTGTACTGCTTGTCAGCCCTCAGTTCTTGAACAGCATTAGGGTTCTGAAGAAAAGCCACCAGAGGAGCAGCCGCCTCCTCCAGAGATTTAAGCCTCGCCACCACCTCCGCTCTCCTCTCCACCATATCTATAAACCACCATCGTCCCACAACCAACCATATTCCTCAGCAACCGATCAAACACATGAAAACCCACATACCCACCTGCCTAAAGGATAGATAGACGGGATCTACCTTGGGGAGCGTCGTCGGTGTGGTAGAGGTTCTTGTGGATATCCATAGCGTAATCAACCATGTTGGTCTTGTTCAAAAGCTCGATCTTCCACTTGAGGATCTGCTCGTCGGGATACAGCTGACGCTCCTGAAGAAACTCAAGCATGGGAAACACGAGGTGCCTGTCCAGGTTCGGCGCGACGCGAGGAGTCAAGTCGTAGCTCGCCATGTTCGGTCCGATTACCGCCATCGTCTTCCCCGCTGCGGCTCGGTGAAAAATCTGACCTTTGAGCCCTAAAACGGCAGAGGGAAAG